TCAGCACCTGCAAATATCAATAAGCACAATAGCACAGACCGGGAACAGAATATCAGCCAACAGCCAAGCCGATGGGTATCAACAAATTGTATGTGACCGAGGTGCGTCACGCTGATTGGTGGTGAGCTTAGGAAGCTTAGACGGCCCATACAACCTCAGGTATCCCCGACCGAGGTGTCTGTTCGGTTAGAATGTGACCCCATATGGGTGTCGATCCTCAATAAAACCGACTTCCGAGAGGAACCTGGCTAGTGCCAGGGTTGGGGCCTCAGTCATAATTGTGCCCATGTTGCATCCTTGAAATGCGAGGTCATGCTCGTACTTAGCCAGTGTACTAGTGTACACCAGGCATTCCACAAGCATGTCTATTTCAGGGTGGGCCAGCCACTTATGCCGTGTGCCCCTAAGCGGGGTCGCCCCCATCCAGTTCAGATAGTGACATGCCTTGACACCAGTACTTCCACTTGGGAAGGTGCGTGGATCACCTAGGGTATCCAGGCATTCCCACCAGGAATCGAGCCGCCTAGGGAGCTCTTACATATAATAAAATAAGAACAAGCGGTTTGGGTCCTATATGACTATACGGTAAAACTAATAGGGTTTGCGGGTTTCACGCCTACTTTATGCCACTATTACGCCGCCCAAAAAATCAACCACCTCGCCACCATATATTTGGGCGTAATTGTGCTTGGCGTATTATTCTGTAATACGGTTGCAACCCTGCATGACCAAGACCTTGGCCTTGGTGTGTCTTTGTACTGAAGCAAAAAAATCAGGTCACACTCACCAGCAACAACACCTGGGCCAGCCGTATCCGCAGCTGCACGTTAAGGAGAAACGAGAGGGATGCACCATTGACATCATCAGTTGCTCAACAATGGGAACGTGTTATAGCAGTAGTTAGCAGTCAGCACTCAGGCTGGACACGATCATTTATGCAGTTGTGTAGGCATGGCTTGATTAGTGTGAGGTGAGTTCATATGCTATGTGAGGTGACGTAGTAACGAGAAAATACCCTAAAAATGTAATATGACTAAAAAGAGACAGCATGTGTGCATGTATCAAGGAAATACAACCCCTGTGCTTGTTTTTCCCCCAGCAAAATGATTTGCACCTCACGCCGGTGCACCTGTCTGGGTGTACCTCCCCTCCAAGAGGTTGTTGCCAATCCTGAAATTCTCGTAAAAACGCCGTATGAGCATTAGTTTTTAGTTTAAGCCAGACCGAATAATCTTAGCTATATATAGCTATATATGTTACAGGGTATTTCCACTAGACCGCACACTAACATTAAGTTCAAAAAATCTCACACCTGGCTCAGCAAATCATGCAAGCGATAAGAAACTAGTTAAATACATTAATAGAAAGTAAAAGTTCTTTAAAAAAATCGCGTAAAGGGGCTCCGTACGCGAAAAGCCGAAGGGCCCAGTGGAAACGCCTCGGACACTAAGTCCGCCTTAGTGGCACACTAGTTATCAGGGCCTCAGACCTGCTGATAACTTTCAAAGTGGACATTAACTTCCGAGCGGGAAAATTCATAGTCAGCCATTTTCCTTCTTCAAGGCCCTACGTTGGCTTTTGTATTTTCCTTTATCCACAGCCGCAAATAGCCCGCTAACCAGTGGAATTCACAGCAGGACCGGTCGAATTGCCCACATTCCAGCAATTCGCCGACCAAACTGTAATGATTTGCGCATTAAATTACACCCAATCTTACTATAACAATGGTTTGGTGCCTTTATAGCAACCTGTTGTATGGTTCCGGGGCGCTTAGTGGAAACACCTGTCCACAAGCCACAAACTAAGTCCACATTAAAGATAATGTCCAAAAGTTAGTGTGCGGCCTAGTGGAAATACCCTGTTAGTAGCCAAGCCATAAGTTTACTACTTATTTTACTTTTTATTGTTCTTCTAAAAAGATTAGTTCTTGTTTTATTCTCTATACAAGATATCTGTTCCTTAGCTAAGAAATATAATGCAATGACTTGGCATTTCCCTTAGTAATTTTAATAGCCATAACCTCTCCTTTATTGTTAATAATTAAATGTAATTTAATCTAAAGATTGCTGTAAAACTAGTAAAAAGAGCACTATCTGTATCCTTTTTCCTTCCTCTTGGAAGGAAAGGCGTCAGCTGTGTGTCACTCAAGACATACACTACAACAATCGAATAACAAGCGTTGTTCCTACGTACAGCGGGTGTTTCTATCGCGAACACAAACAAGCAAACAGCGGTGCTCGTCGGGAGCCCAGTCACAGGCCCAGCCGCAGCGACCCGAGAAACTCCCAACCCAGTCTAGGAATGCGCTGAGCTTCCACAAGCAGCTAAGCTTGCCGATGCATGCCTGTTTCGATTGCCTCCGGCAACGCAACGCCCTGCGTTGCCGGAGATTAAGTTGCGCTCGCAGGTCATTTACGTCGAGACGACGAAATGCGCCTCCTGCCTCAGCGCTCAAATCGTGACCCTCCCTTTCAAGAACTTCGAGTATGGGAGCAATCGAGGCCTCAGTCTCTCCGTCGACTGCAGCGATCGCTTCGCGTACAGTCGGCACTGGAGCAGAAGTTCTGCGAGGCTACACCACATCGGATCCTATGGCATATCTCAGCGAGCTGACCCTGCTAGCGAAAAAGCTCGTCCGCTTTCAACCGCAACGCTTAAACAAAGGCCCTCGGGAAACGCACCTGCGGCCTTTAGCCGGCGCACAAAGTCCACGATGAACTTGTTGGTATCAGCTTCCTGAAGCACAGCCAGCTGGGTCTCGGGCACGCGCGCCGCGAAAACAAGCAAGTCCATTAGCTCGTCTCCGGTGGTCTCTGCGCGAATGGCCTGTGACACGGCCATCCTTGATGCCATGATTCAAAGCTGCCCTCAGATAGTGGGCATGCAATACGTTGATTCACACTGGTATCCAAAGTTGGAAAGGAGAAGACGAGCCAACAAGAGTCAAGGGCACTGGGTACAAATTAATTGCGGAATGTGTTGTGAAGCGCTTACTTGCGTTGCAAGTTACTTGTAAATCAGTATGCGTGTAACAAAGCAAAGGCGTAACCCGGGATGCTCAGATGGGCATTGCGTCGTTACAAGTTACAAGTTACAAGTTCCGCACACAAGTGCGGGTGTGTCCGTAAAAGCCGGGGGGGCCATGGACGTTGTATTGGTATTGATGCAGGTACGCGGGAGGTCATCTTCATTCTCCCTCGTCCGCTTCAGGGTGAAGCGCCTCAGCGCGACATGCCTGGCCTCCCAAATTTCCGAGAGGTACCTGGCCAATGCCAGGGGTGGCGCCTCAGTCATAGTGGTGCGCATGCTGCGCCCCGTAAGGACTAGGTCACCATCATACTTAGCCCGTATACTCTTGTAAGCGGGACATTCTTCGAAAACATGCAACTCATCTTCAACCGCTCCACAGTCACAAAGCCTGCAGGTACACGCGGTGCGCTCACGCCCATTAGGCCTATTAACCTCTAACTCCCAACAGCCTAACCGAAAACACATGAGCACATGATGAAGTCGCTGGGGCATGGTCCCTTTAGTGTGCTCCAACCAATTGAGACGCGCACCCCTAGGCGGGGCAGCTCCCATCCACTTCATATAGCGACACGCCTTGGCTCCGGTAATTCCTATGGAGAAGACGCGGGGGTCACCCATTGCCCCCCGCTTAGCAATGGACATCCTCGGCCATTATTTCGAGCATAGGAGCTATCCCACCTCCCGCTTTTTGCGTTAGATTCATTACACCATAGTAAAGCCGTTGACGATACTTGCTTGTTGTCAGAATCGGACCACCGACCCGAAGTTTACATCGGAAGTTGTGCGGCCCCGTCTCAATACCATTGTAACAAAGCAAAGGTGTAACCCGGGATGTTCAGATGGGCCTTGCGTCATTACAATGCGCACTACGCCACGATATGTACGATAATTGAGCACCATTTCGGATCTATGTTGCTATATGAGACGTTACAGAGTGGGAGGCTTCTGGACCGCTTTATCACATTGTCAGTTCTACGTTTTATAGCCTTATAGCACCATCCACCACTAACACACTGAACTTCGCCATACAAACTGTATGTCCGAGGCGTCGGATCAGGGACCCCTCCTCTAGCCTTCAGGGATCCCTCCTCAACCATTCACCCGAATGTCCGAAGAGTCGGAGGTGCCGGCTTTTGCCACCAATCAAGCGTGCGAATCTGGTCCATCTACTGTGACCTCAACTCCACATCTCAGCAGCTAGCCATGATTGTTTTCTTCCCGGTAAGGCGCCTAAAGGACCGGATATGGGGCAGTAATGGATATCGCACACAACTGGAAAAAGGCCAGAGGTGGTGCAGACTGAGATTGCTGAAGTTGTTCAGCATTTGAAGATAAGGTCCACACGACTCTTCACGTTAATACACGGTCGCATCTAATTCGGACGACAAGAGATGACTGGGTAAAAATTGTACATCCTGTCCGTCTAGCTACCATCTCTCGCCATGCAACCCCTGCCCTCTATCCTGTCCTCCCAATGGGCAGTCTGCGCACTAAAATAAGCAGGGTACAGTAAAGCTTGTTGATCTCAATTCATGCCCCTCGAATAACTGCCCAGCACAACGAGCCCCACTGGCAGTGGGCTCGGATTGTCAGTTGCAAAGTCGAGGGCACAGGCAGGAGGCGCTCCATCCACCGCGGGAGAATGAATATCCATATTTTTAAATGCGCAACACATGTTATAACACCAAAACAACACATGGATACGTGACAAGATCGTCGATGCGATACGGCCCCTGCATGCTTTGTAGAACTCCGAAACCCAACAAAATCATCTTCGGCTGACCACCAAGGAAAGTTGGGGGCACTTCCCCCCCCCCCTTTCGCATATTCTTGCTATTACACAGACGTCCTACATGTATTCCTCATCCTCCTCAAGCTCTTAGGTAGTTTAGAGTTCCGCTCGAATTGCAAACCACCACCGCCAGCATTGCTGCAGCGTAACCCTTCCCTTCGTTGTAAAATTCGCATGCCTAAGCCCGCTCTGGAACCACACATCGCCACGTGCCGTCGTTAACAGGCAGCACCCAGGCGCCGCTCTCCTCTAGCTGCTGCACGCAGGCCGTGTATGGGTGTGGCATCTGCAGCACAAACAGCTTGCCGAGCTGCACGGTCGACAGGTATCCGGGGTTGTTGGACGACAGGCGGTAGTGCGCAATGTGGCGCTCCTTCCACTTGAGGAAGTGCCTGGGACGCAGCAAGCTAAAAATGTGGTCTCGGAGCTCATCGTTGGAGATCAGCAAGCCGTTGTGCTTGGCGCGCACGGAAGCGTACATCCAGAACCTGGGATTACAAAAAACAGTAACGAAAAACAAAAAACGGTGTCAACGCGCGTCAAAAGGACAAACTGCGTCTGGCTGCAGGTTTCTATCCGACAGACCCACCTGGTGGCAGTCCTTCCAACCATAATCGCAAACGGACCTCAAAAGACACGAACAACAACGCATGCGTGTGGTAGCACGTAAGGCAGCGCTCTCACAAAAGTGGTTTTCTCCTCTCGTGTGTGTGTGCGCGCATATTCAACCCCCACCTACCAGTCATCATTTGCACCCGGCGGCGTATGGTAGAAGCTCCGAGCGCGGCGCAGCCTCTCAATGAACTCCTGTACGCCCGGGGCACGCGACTCCGCGTCGCTGACACGCTTTCGATGCACCATCTGGGGGTGACGGAAACGGCAGCAGCAGGGAGCCACAGGAGGGATGGACATGAGAACGGCGGGCTGCAGGAAGCGGAAGAGGAAAGGAGACAGCTCGCCGATCAGTTGCCACCATAAATCCCGATCCAAGCCGTACACCCTTAACAGTCCACGCAGCCCAACCAGGCCCTTTCCTTTGTGAGCAAGACCAGTTGGATCTTTAGACCAGAGCCGGGCGCTCTTGACCGCCGAACTGCTCGAGCGACGAGTTTGTATGAAGCCTCCCGGGAGCTCAGGTTTAGTTGGGGTCGGATGACTCCCACCCAGTAACCTCAACGCTAGGCCCCTGTCCCTGTGCCGCATCATCCGCCCGCTCCCGGGTTCCGCTTTATCTCCCGGGGCATCCCACCACGCTAGACTCACTCACCACTAAAATCTTCTTGTTGGGAAATCGCTGACGTAGCATTTCGTACATGTGCTGCACCTGCCGCCAGTTGAAGCCTCCGCCCTCGCGGTTCTGGCCAAAAAAAGCAACGTTGGCAGCGTCGACCATAATGTCGTACGGCCCGTTGCGTTCGTACCACTGGGTGTACGCGTCAAAGTCGCCCGCGCGGCTGCCCATATTTTTGCGCGCCAGCTCCGCTATAGCTTTTGCAAAGGCGTCCCTAAAGAAAAAGGTTCGATGCAAATAGTTAATGCCGTACGTAACCTTATTAGAGGACATGTTCGTTTAATACCATACCAGGCAAAGCACATGCAATTTCTGTGCCGTGCAAACGTGAGAAGAACCAAACACACCACATAAGACGTACGTGTCACCGGTGACAACGAGGGAGGGAAGGACTGAAGAGTCCCTTTCATGTGCGCAACGAGCCCGTAGGTGCACCCAGTGTGTATGTGAGTACCTTTTCCTGCACTTTTTTCCACTCTCACCCCCTGAACCCCCGTCCACATCCTGATCAGCACCCACCCTTATTCCCCCATGGAGCCGAATCTCCACACGCCCTTTCACCTCCAGCAGCCCCTTCCCGAACCGCCCGCAACCCTCCTGACTGAGCACATGCGAGAAGCAGCGACCCACAATGCTTTCCATCAGGTCCGATACAGACACCCTTCCCCTAAGGCCCCAAATCACCATCTCGCCACGCACCATTCTTCATCCTCCAAGTCGATCACCTTGACCGTCCCGCCGGCCGCCTCACACCGGCCATCCTCGGCCACCTCAGCGTTCTGAACCACCCGCCACCGCCACTCGCCACCGCTGTCCCCACCAGCGTCAGTTATGTGCCGGACCAGTCCACGGCAGCCGCCCTGGTCTGCAGGCGCAAAGGCCTGCTGTGCTGCGGCGTTCTTCTCAAAAAACGAGGTGATATGTCCGGCGGTCTCCGGGGACATCTGGTTCATGTCGGACTGCATGCGCACCAACACGGCTGAAGCGGGAAATGGAAAAGACCGAGGAGGGAGGGACGAATGATTTGGATAAACAGGGAATTAAGGTATATGATGTGCAGGGGGGTATCGAGGGCGGTCGGTGGTCGGTGGTGGGCTCCCTCGAGGTAGGGTCCGGGAGGAGGTGGGGCCCGGGAGGAGGTGGGGCCCGGGAGGAGGTGGGGCCCGGGAGGAGGTGGGGCCCGGGAGGAGGTGGGAGCTGGGCGGGCGCCAGGCGCGCAAGCATACGTGTACAGGACCCACCCCTGCTACGGCCAACGCTTCCTTAATGAACAACAACAAACAGAAACGAACCAGATGAGTCTGAAATCTCTCGTCCTCATTCGCCATGTTGGCCAAGTTAACCCAACACCTCCAGTGCTCCAGTTTCCCAGCTCCCCACCCGTCAACTGACCGCAATCGACCTGGTCCACACCCACACCCACACCCACTCAGAGATTTAACCCGGAACCGCACGCGCACGACCCTTCCCCCTGTTCACACGCACACACTCTCGCCTACCTCACCCACGAGCCCCCTTTAGTATGACCACACACACACCCACGCGACAGACCAGTCTCGGTTCGCTTCGCTTCGTCAATGCTTCGCTTGCTCTAAAAAGAAGCTACCTTCCTGGTATTCGCCCAATATGCCAACACACCTTTCATCTGCTCATACGTGCCCGCCGCAGCAATGCCCTCCAGCAGTCTCGCAAACTCGTACTCGGTGTTGTCCAGACGGTGGGAGGCGATGATGGAGTCAATGTGGTGCAGTTGAGCCACATCACCGGATAGGCAGTAGCCAACCTGGCGGCGAGTGGAGGTCCCGCAGGAAAGGATGACAGGTAAAAAAGGATGATAGCCGACATGAACTGCATCCATCAGCATACACTCAATCAATGAGCCCGCGACCTGGAAGGGGACATTTCAGCGCTTTGTGGGGCGCTGGACATGCGTGGCTGCTATGCTTATTCTCTTTTGTTGCGGGAGGCCGTTTCGTCCAAACCCTCCCCTTCCCCTTCCCCTCCCACCCAGCCGCTGGGAAATAAGCTACAAGTCCCGCATAAGTACGGGGTAGCGTCCGTAAAATCAGGGGGCCATGAGAGGAGGGGGCCATAAGGGAGGAGTCTGCGGTGGTTTTGCGGTGCTAAGCCGTAACACCATTCGACCAATCCCTACCTCTCCGAAACCACATGGTAGATCAATATATCTGTGCTACCTACCTGTGCGGGGTGAAACATTCGGAGCTGCGCCAGCTTGCCATCCTGGATGCACTCCTGTGTCTGTGGCATGATTTTACGGTGCGTTTCTTAGCGATTTTATTGTACGGTGTGCATGTGCTTTTATGGTATGGGGAATACTAAGAGAAAATGCAATCTGGAAGCAAGGAAAGGAGAAGTGACAGACGCGCTACCCGTTCCAAAGCTGTGACAGGCACCTGAGCTAGGGTGCTGACCAAAGATGCATCTGCTAGATGAAATGCGTGGAGGGATTGAAACTATGTCTCTTGGTAAGAGGGTAAGGACTGTCAGATACCATGGGGTGGTGATGGTGATGATGCTGCGGTGATGCAGCCTGGCAAGATATGAGCCCTATACAGCTACACCAATCCAAATGGGCAAAAAGCAGCGGCGACTGCAACCTGAGACCTATATATATATATACATACGGATACAGGCAGCCAAACAGGAGGTTCTGCTCATTCCACATGAGCGGCTGTCTGTCTGCTCCTGCCAAGTAAATAACTAATCATTACACACAAGGTTGATCACGGCGTTTACTAAAGCCGCTTCCCCTTTCCCTTCCAACTACCCTTTCACGCCCTCTTCATGTTGCGTTTCAAGCCCTTTTCATGTTGCGCTAGCGCCAAGTTTCGCCTGTAGACAAGTTTCCCTTCACTAGCCTCTTCAAAGGAAAAACAGACATGCGTGCGCACACACACACAACTTATTTTCCTTCATTCCTGTAATGTAACCATACAGCAATTGGCTACTGAAGGGCTCCTTGTCTGTAACGGCGAACCACTAACCAGAACGCACCAGCTGCAGCGCGGCCTGAGGGTTCCCCAACAGCGCCTCCCTGCGGGCCAGCGCCAGGTACGTGCCCTGGTCCGGCTTCATCCCGGCAGACTTCATGTACGACCAAAGCTCGTCCGCCGCCGCCAGCAGCTCCTCCTTGCTGGGTGGGGGCCCCTCCGGATCGGGAACCGACGGCCGCGTGGACGACTTGTTCGCTAATGAGGAATGAGACAACAAATCGTCAGTGGGTTGGGGCTAGGTCAGTTCTCTATTCACAGCATCGGGAAATTAGCCGCCGGGATATTAGGGTTCGCGGACCTAAGAACCACTAGCAGGGTATTAGAAAGGCACAGTTGAGGTAGGAAACGGCTGCCGGGCTTCGCAGGTGATTTCGTAAGAGACAGGAGCGCAACCGAGCGAGAGGAGAGGGGTCCATCACCGTAGTTGTCCACCAAGAGGGAGAGTTCATGTGAAGAGGATCAGTCCGAGGACGCGGCCCATGGCGACGGGGTGGTAGTGGTAGGTGGGTGGCGGTAATGGTACTGGGTTGCAGCTATGAAGATGCCACACGACATCCGAACGCCCTTTGATCCCCTTCCTGCAAGGTCGCGCTGCCCCCTGCGTCTGCTCCCACAGCATGCGCAATGCACCTGCTCCCACAATTTTGACAAAAGTCGATGCTTCTATATAAAAAGGCATTCCGCATATCATCATGTTTCCAGTTTTCCTGATAACTCGCTCCTGTCCTGCCAAATAATACACATCACGCTCGACGTAAAATACACACATGCATTCGACATGTTGAGAGCTGTTTCCCCACACGGGCACAAACCTGGACGCTGAGGCTGCTGCTGCTGCTGGACCTTGGCTTGCTGTGGCTCTTGCTGTTCTTGTTGCTCTTGCTGCTCTTGGCCCTGCTGGGGCTCTGTCGCGTCAGCCTCCGCGCCGGCCAGCGCGCCCCCGCCCCCGCCAGCGGCGGCCGCAGCAGCGGCGGCAGCAGCCGCTGCCTCCGCGCCCACCAGCGGCGGCAACCCCCGCGCGTGTCGCTCCCACAGATCTCCCCCCACTGCCACGTAGAGCAGCGAGTTGATGATGGTGATGGGCAGGTTCCCGCCCTCCGCCACAGCCTCTCGGAACCTCTCCATGGCGAACTGCATGCGGACGCCCCACATCCACATCCACACCAAACGAAGGAACAAACAGATGACATTTCCACACCGGCAAAGCTCGATAACAGTGCATTCACATCCCTACATCTTCCCCCAACCCTCCCATACCCACACATAAAAGCATATATCGTAGCTGCACCACCTGCGGCACTGCAATGTCCAGATCACTTCCGCCCAACACGTCTCCTGGTCTTTCTACGCTTACACAGTCGTCATAGTTGATCGCGAGGAAGGAAGCAGCGGGACAGGCCAGCAAACACCGTGACACCGACCCAGACAAGTTACCCGGATCCGCAAACCCACCTTGAGGTTGTTCCGCTTCACTGCCTGCTGCATGACCGGAATCTGAGTAAGGGTTTGTGGCAGGACAGGGGGCTTAGTGAGTTGCGTAACGGGAGCTGCTCGCAAACTGCGCACAATGGTCATGCAACTACACGGACATCGTCGCCTTCGTCGTCATCATCTTCATCACCACCATCATTTTCCGATTGTCACGAACAGAAATGAGCAAATGAAAATGAAACAGATGGGTTTGGTTATTTTCGTTGTTCTGGGTGATATGTACCATCCGCCTCCGGAGGTCATTTAGATCACATCGCCAAACAACACCTAGGGGGTGATGAAATGACATGTGCGCCAAAGGTACCTTGCTCGTGCTATTCGGCGAAGCGGTCTAACGGCCCTCTGTTTCAGGGTGGATGCGGGAACAGGGAATGGCCCAAGGTACATGTATACTAAACCTCTGGGGGGGATGTGATAAAGAAGATGTGAAAGCACTGAGCGGCACATCATCAGCTTCCCCCATTTCACGCTGGCCCAAGCCTTCCCGCGACAACCCCAGCGGCAGTCCCGAAGGGCCGCGCTTTCCGAGGGAGACCCCAGGCAGGGGAGCCCGGTACTGCGGGCCTGACCAACATAGACCACCCATGGGTGCGCTGCCCAGAATACCCCTGAAATGTTGGCTTCATCGCCTGTCACCTGGACCATTCTGCGTGCTGTGGATCAAAGCCAATTCGAAACGCTTATGCCAGGCCTAGAGGATGGCGTTAAACCAGCCTGCACGCACCCGGGAATCTTTAGGGTTTTCCTTCTTTTTACGTATAGCACGCATCCTCTTGTTTTCAGCTGGAACAGGCTGAGCTCCATTTGATTGCAAGTTGGCACCTGTGCTCCCGCCGCCAGCACGATGGGTAGCCGGACCGTCATCTGTTGGTTTCGCCGTTTTGCAACACGAGCCGTGTCAGGTAGCAATTAAGCTTTTCTGCCGTCATGCCACGTACAACTCAAGATTGATATCGCCGATGCGAAGGTAGCGTTCCCACTCACCTGTGCGTTGGCGCTTTGCTGCAGGACCAGTCTGCTCCCTATCTAAATCGCCTTCCATGTCGAGTTCGTCTTCTACCTCGTCGACTACTGCAAAATTGTGATTGCTTCCCACCGGCGCAAGGCAGGCCGGCGGCCGGAGAAGCGCACAGGCAGCGTTCCTTCCAAAATGTGGAACCCGAAGACCAGCAAAAAGATTGCGTAAGGGTAGTTGCTGCACAATAGAGACGTGCACTATAGTAGCGGCCCGCCGGCACAGGAGCATCGACGCGAAAAGCCTAGCCACTGTGAATGCTGTGCATAGGCTCAAGTAAGGGTATTGTACTGTTCATAATTTATTTTGGGACGAAGTCCTGTTTCTCGTATGTTGCATCTTGCATGTGGACTTGAATCAGTTGGAAAACTGCATGGTATGCGCTGGGGCGATTCCCGCCATTGACGAGCCCAATCCCGCATGTAAGGGGCCTTAAATGCAAGACCTACAAAATCATTATAAATTGGACAAGCTACCGAAAACATGGAGCTGGACATAACCGTTAGATGCGTCTCGACGGGGATGGGCCCCAAGGCTTCGCTTTGTTGCGACAGGATATCGAAGGAGACCACCGCTTAGGAAAAGTTTCAACTTACAGATTATGGGCACGACGCGAAAAGATGCGCTTTCACAACAGAATGCGCCACTACAGGTCACTACACCATTAAGCATAACATGTTAAGCATCATTTCAGCAGGTCCCACACTTCTGGCCAACTCCTATCAGCCTGTCTCGCACGGTTGGCAACCAAGCCGGATTCTCCAGTCCACACCCTAAAGGCATTCCTGCGGGACAAAAAATACGGGCTGACCCCCTCGCGTCTTCCGTGTCCTCCTGCGAACTTCACTCCGACCACCCTTCTCCCATCCCATCCCATCCATCACAACACCTGCCGCCCAAACCACATTCCATAAAACAGTGCAGCAAATACACAACCGTAATTCAAAGACGGCCTAGAGGAGACCCTTCCAGCCTGGCCGCCTTCCCCAAAGTCGCGGTCGCAATCAGCCAATGGTTGTGTGTACTTCCACCTTTTGTTCCCACCCAAACAAAGATTAAGACGGGATGGCCAACGGGCCTTACGTTGCCAATGCCAACCATTACCCTTCTATACACGACCTGTGGGTCGCCTGCATCAATTGAGAAAAGAAATTTGAACTGACCTGTCATAAACCCAGTCAAACAGGAAGCCATCTCTAGGCCGCCATCAATGGAACCGGCGTCCCAAAGCAGGTAATCGGACATCGGGGCCAGGCGAGACCCAGATGAGACATGACCTAAAGTAAACAGGGGCGTTCAAGAGCACATTCATTCGCTCGCATTATTTCCTCCCCCTAGCCTTCCTAGACTTCCGTCCAACGCAGCTCAATACCCACGCCAATACCCCATACAGCTCCGCTCAGCTGCCCGCACCGAGACGTGCCGGAAAAGAGAGGAGGACGCCGGCCACTAGGTATCGGCGCCTGCACCATGAGCCGGTCGCGCTGGATAGGGTAAGGTGGACCGCCGCGGCAACGCGCTGCAGTTGTTAGGGAACCATAACACGTCCGGCATGCATTTTATGCCGCTGATTCGCGGGAGACCTTGTTCTGCCTTGTTCTCACGAGTCCCTATTAATCGCCCAGATTATGCCACCTAGCCGGCTAGTTCGCCATCCAACCAGCCGGCACACAAATCGTCGCGGTGGGACAGGGCCCCTTGCCATCACTTTGCAACGGCATCAAAATGGCCGACAAACTGGCACGCGAATAGGCAAGCGGTGCTGCCTTGCAACGCACACACAGTTCGCTACGCTCGACGCTGCACCTGCTCGGGTCAACGTATGCACTCATCGCACGCGACTCCTACCTACCAGATAAGAAGTCTTCTATCATAACAATGACATTTAAACCAAACCATGATCGGGAGGGTTCCAGACAGCAATCCACCTCAGGCATTTCGACCAAAAGCCATAGCTGTGATACGCGCACACACGAGTGTACGTGGGAAGCAGTCTTGCTGACCCTCAGAAAAATGCTTTTGTCGTCAAGCCTGCAATGAACACAATGCACCAATCGATGACACGCTTGGGTGTCACTTCTCTTTGCAGGAGAGCTCTAGGACATCTCCAGAGGAAGGGATCAACGCTCCCACGCTAGGCCACCACAAAAAGATGTGATGCCCTTTCCTTACGGGGGCCCGAAGTGAAATCCGAATATCGGCAAGGGCAAGCCTTGTTGAAATTCGGAAATTAGTGAAGACATGCAGGAAGTCAAAGCGTGCGGCCTTCCACGGCCGCAAAGGCTAACCCCGAAAATGGCCTCAAAGTTATCGCTCCGAGCAGCTCATTATAGGCAGGTGATGCGCCTGCCGACCACGTAACGACAGCCCTAATTAGTGTGCCTGCGACCATGTGTGTGATTTCAAGGATGATAGTGCAGCGGGAGGTCCCTCCATAATAAGAGGGAAGCAGCCACCTACACCCTCCCTAGTGAAGCATAGAATCGTGGAACACCACCACAACGTCCGGTTGCAAACACGCAAACACAGGCGCGCAGGTTTGACCGCCAACTTCTGGTACGGCAGGTACGGAGATTATTTTCTGATGATACGTTGGTCACCCGAAGTCCTTGGAGTGACGTGGACAACCCATAAATCGAGTCATTGAGCTGCTATCCAGAGCTTGATTCCGTACCAAGTCTAGTACAAAGATCCGAGTCCGGCCTCAAAAATGAGGTCTGGCTACTAGCGCACGTGTTTAGCAAATTGTCACTTGAAGATTGGCTGCTGGCAACACAGCGACCTATGCGTCAAGTACTTGGGATTCAAGCTCCTGTCATCGCGCTACCGTGCATGCACGTCATCATTCCCCTTTCACAGGGAACAGAACCCTTCAGCCAACCAGCCAGCCAGCAGGTGGCTCACCACGCTATCTTACTCCGTGCCTAAACGGACACTCCTCGAAAGCCATTATTAGACTAACAGACAGTGAACATAGCCGTTATTAATTGACACGTGCTATTCCGCTGCCATCCTACCCGACGCCGTTGTCAACATGTGAAGACGGAGAAGTGCGTTCCCGACATTTGCCCCAAGTTTTGCTTTTGCTTTGCAACCATGACCATACACGCAAGCGCGCGTGCACCAGCCTGCACTGCCAACCCTGCCCTTCATCTCCATCTCGCGCTCCTCGTGCGGGTTCCGTTTCCCCATTCCTCCCTTCTGAGAATGGGAAAACAAAAACAAGAGCCCTTCCTTCTCCCTACACATCGTACGCCTCCACCGAGATTCAGGCAGCAAAGGGGAAGGACTTGCTCTGCATTCCTCTAACTCCTGTCCCTTCATTTCGCCTGTGGCGGCGGCGGCGGCGGCAGCGGCGCCACTGCGGCAGCAGCAGCAACCGTCCCGGCGGCAACCATCACCGGCTCCAGAACGTCCTGTAGAGATGCGTCGGGGTGGAGCTTGAGGAAGGGGTGTTGCGCTAGGGTCGTGACGCTAGCCCTGGCCTTGGCATCTTTCTGCAGGCATTGCGCCACGAAATCCACCAGCTCTGGCGAGAACTGGTCAGCTGGCAGCGTGGGCGCGGGCTCGATGACAATGTACTCGAGCAGCTCCCAGAACCCTAAGTTTACGCCAGTCTCCCCTGTTCAAGAAAGACGGGTACAGGATCGCGGGGTCAAAGAGAAGTTACAGTATGCATTGACTGGCAGGCTACTGACGCCAATCTGTATGCAGGAAGGAAAACATGGATTGCTTTTTTTGTAAATGGCTTCGCGCAGGCAACCCTTTTATCACCATGCACAAAACCCATTCGGTTCTGGCGTTGCCTAGAGCAATGAACGTTTAGACAGGCTTATTGCTGCTGTGGAGTTGAAGATCTCCATGCTGCAGGAGAGAATCTCCAGTTCCAGTCGTCATCCCACAAGGATTCGTCACCACAGGCATCACCGACTCACCAGGCGGTGGGTACGGAAATCGCCCCAATGCGCACTCCAGTAATGTAAGGCCCAGGCTCCACAGGTCGCTATCGAAGCTGTACGAGTCGCCCTTGATGCGTTCTGGACTCATGTACGTCACCGTACCAACCCACGACAGGCAGTTGGATACGGAGGAAGCCAGCTGTCCCGAGACGCCAAAGTCACTGATCTTGACCTCCCCTTTGCCGTTGAGCAGAAGGTTGGAGGGTTTAATGTCCCGGTGGACAACCTGATGCACCGCGGCGGTGCGGACCGGGTGACCACGACAAGGGCAGACCAGCCATGACAGGCAGATGTGATAAGTAATGGCGGCCAGTCAAGGCCCGTGCCATGGGGGTTGCGTGGGAGCCGGCCAGGACCCAGGGCAGACCCAGCAAGACGATTCTGCGTTTCTACGACCCGAGCTTCCATTGTAACCCAGAAAGCCGTCCGGCAGTGGCAGTGACCGGAAGGCTGGGGCTTTGAAGCAATGAGCCGACGATAGCTGCCTCTAAAGAATCTGACCGCCCAACCCACCTCTCCCTGCTCTGGTTCGGTCCTTCCCTATCTTTATCCTCCAACCCAACCACTCATTCAACCTCTTTTCTCTCAACTTCCCACCGAGCCCCCTGCCTCTTTTCTCTTGCCACACCTTGAGCTCCTTATGCAGGTAGTGAAGCCCCGCCACAAGCTGCCGAGCAATGTGTGCAATGACGGGCTCCGGCAATCCCGGACCCGCCAGGCGCTCCTCCAACCCCCCAGTCGCAGCTACTCCTCCGTTTGCCGTAGCAAGAGCGATCCCCTTGCTGCCCTTCTGGCTGCCTTGGTGCTGCAACTTGTGCTGCTGCTGCTGGTATTGCCTCATGCGCGCCTGCAGTTACCGGGCACAGGGCAGCATGGCTTGTTAAGCTGTAGTTTCAAGGAGTCTTCGAGTGACGTCTGTCTTTATCTGCAGGACTTGGCGTGCTGAATAAAACGGGCATGTTCGCTTCAGGGATCAGGCGGCGACACCTAAAGAATTGCCTTGGTGAGCGCCAGGTAGGTGAGGGCGACATGGTGAAGGCGAACAACGCATGCAGGAAATATAACGCCCACGCCACACGTACGTAAACCCCTTGCCGTTTTTCGTTTGGTCTTGCGTTTGTCTCCCCCATGATCCCCCATGAACCATGCCGCACGTGTCAAGAACGCGCCGCGTATGACAGCGCCTTCCCTGTTGCTCCCTCCGCCGTGGCCTTGCTTTCCTAGGAATGGAAGCCTGGGGCAGGGAATGCCAGCCCAGTGGAACGCGCCAGATCCACTGCCACCCCACAGGGCCCCCCACCTTGAGCAGATCTGCCAGGCTCCCAGCATCGCAGTACTCCATGGCAATGGTGATGGCACCATTGTCAAACCAGGCTGCGCTGTACTTTACCACATTGCGGTGGGCTGCACCGTACAGCGTGCGTAATTCCGTTGTGACCTGCACGAGATTTTACGAAGACGAAAAAATCATGATAACGGGCATCGGGCTTATGCTGCAAGTGGCTCCAGCCACCGAAATGGCAATCAAGCGTAACTCTAGCCCGACTGTTACCCGCCAGACCCCACCTGCATGGAGCGAACCCTATATTACCCTCGGGTCCATGTTGTGTCTTTGCTGAGGCTCTTCTTATCCGGTATCCCTTTCTTCAATTCTTGTTCAAAGCCATGTGCTCACCACGACCCGCGCACCTGCTTACGAATGACGTCTGAAGACACATCAAACTGAATGACCTTCAAGACCATGAGCCGGCCGTCGCGCTTGTTTCGGACCTTCTTCGCCACACCGCTGCTTCCTTGCCCGATAACGCAAATCTCCTCAAAGTCATCCAGGGTCAGCGGCTCCGAGGACGCTGAAGCTCCACAACGAGTGTGCGGGCTGGTCAATGCCGCACCATTACCGCTGGTACTTGCCTCGCCAGGCCCCTGTCCAAGACATCGATATAATGAACATGTGAGGACAATATGAGCGAAAGAGACAATGCCAACGTCAAAACGGAAAAGGCCAGCGTGCAAGTGGGTGCGAGTGAGTTTACTTGATGGAGTGCAGTCATGGGCGCGGATGCAGAGAAATGGGGGTTCAGCAAAGGACGGTGCATAAAGGGAGTAGGTCGGATGCGGAATAAGCATGCGGAAACCCAGGAAAAGGGTCAGTTTATGAGGTCTCGTGTACACGGGAGGGTGGGAAAGGACCCGCTCAACGCAGTTGCGCGAAAGAAAGGCGCAGGCCCTCCGAGCGCCGAAACCATAGACAGTGGGATGTATAGCGCCTTCAAAATATTACCAGCGATACGCGGTCGGCAACTAGCCGTGGAGGTGAGGCGGAGGATACGTCAAGGAGCGACAAGGTTCGTTTTTTAGGGACCCTTACCGCCCCAGGGAAGGCGTGTGGCTCCAAAAATGCAGTTTGCATGGGGAAGGTGACATGCGTGAAGTACAGAAACATTCCTACACGCCAGAAACCGCAGTCCCTTCACAACGCAAACCTACCCGCGAGCTCGCCGAGTCCTCTTCCTGTGGTAGTGGCCGCTTGTTTGGCTGCAATGAACTGCATTACAATGCGCAGCGCCAGTCACTAGGTGTCATGCAAGCGGTTGGGCCTCTGTCCATTCCCTGGCAAAACGAAAGACTTATCTATCTATTCCGCAAAAGGTTTTTTATAGGCAAACCCCAAACCTGTGCAGCAAGCCAACCGTTTAAGAGCCGCTTGGACATTCTTACTTTGCCGAGCCAGGGCGCGCAGCCCCAAGCGTGCTTGCTGGTGAATTTATCTGCAGACCTTCACGACTTATGGTTAGGTCGCCCTCCACAAACGTGCCGTTGTTCGTGCTGCAAGAACAACGCGTAAAGATGGGTTTAGGCCGCGGCCCGGCAGGAGAATGAGATACATTTTATGTACTAGACTACTTAATCTAGCCCTCGCCATGCCAATCCAGTCAGGGGCAGGTCTGTGGGCAGGCATTACTCACAGGACATAGGACGTCTTCTTTTCCTCGGGGACAGCAATCGGCTCTGGTCTTTTCCGGTTCATCTCTTATGATCCTGGTTCTTGTGGACGAGGATGAGCACAGGACACGCGCAACCTGACCTAACAACGATAAATGAAAAGCTGTGACAGCGCGTAGTGGTCACTCAGTAACAGTAATGCCGAGAGATTCAGATTGCAGATGTCTTAAAAATAGGAATTGAGGTACACTGTGTAGCCCGTGTCTATTCGAGAAGCATTTTTGTCCGGCATCGGAGCCGTAACACCATGCAGGCCCGATTGTTATCGCTCAGGAGGCATGGGAAATCATAGCGTACACCTTTTATCTATGATACATGCATACACTTGCGCGCGTTCGCTATCTACTATACCAACTTGTTTGAAAACGCAGACGGTCAATAAGGATATGGGTTTCCGAGCCGAACGCAGAGGGCGCGCAGCCACATAAAAGAACTGTGACTGCAGAAGCCTCTTGATTCATTGTCCAACTGTCAGCCAAGGCGGGCTATCTTGAGCGATGGCAGCGGGGATTGGAGCCCGTGTCTGGGTGCCACGGGAGCCTGGCTGGGCCCAGGCAGTAGTCGTCTCTTCCGATGGACAGCAGCTGTGCGTCAGGCGGGTGGAGGACAACCACGAGGTTTGGCTGGACAGCTCGCAGGCACACATATGCAATAACGGTGATGTTGAGGTGTGTCACTTTAGCCTGGTTATCTGTATCCCAGAGTTACTAGGTAGCATTGAGGAATGCCTCAATTATACCGTCAAGCCCCCCAAGTGTGGAGCTTCTTGTCGCTCGCAACCGTCTGTTAGCTTTCCGTCGAGGGTGTGCCGGGGACAACTGCTATCACGAATCACAGTTAAACCCTAACAATTGATTACTATCCAAAACACAGTTGATCGATGAAACCATCGCATGCCTGGCATTTTGCGTACCCTGCAGGACATGACTGCGCTGTCTTTCCTGCATGAGCCTGGCGTATTATGGAACCTGCAGGTAAGGAAAGTTCTATTGGAATTTGGGTTTGAAGACGCGCTGAGATTCCAGCTAGTTGCCCGCTTGGGCGCAGAGGGAGCCAAGGGGGACTTAGGCACTATGCATTACCGGAGTGCGAAGGTTTTGCTTGCAGCGTCAACGCATGACCCATCCTGTGGACTTCGTTTCCGGCGAAGGGGGGGTACGAAACCCGTTTCGTAAGGCCCACCTTCCGCCCTTCCCACGCAAGGGGCTTGGACCCTGCGGTCAGCACCTTAACACTGGCAGGTGCATGCTTCCTTGCGGCGTTCACGAGCACCTTCTCACTTAAGGAAAGCTATACTGTATTGCCTTACCATGTGGGTTGCTACCTTCTTGCAGAGCCGGTACAAGCGGGGCGACATCTACACGTACACAGGAAGCATTCTGATAGCAGTCAACCCTTTCAGGCCGGTACCCCACTTGTACGGCGCAAATGTAATCGATCAGTACCGCTCTTCACCGCGAGAGCAGCTGCCGCCACACGTTTATGCGACCGCGTGCGCTGCCTTCCGCAACATGATACGGGACGGTGCTGGACAGGCCATCCTGGTAGGTTGGCATTCGTGGCGCATCGTGCGTGAAGGCATATGCGCAGGGTTCTGTTACCGAGGGCTGGTGCGCATGTTGGATGGATGATGACGGCCAAATGTGGTACATCAGGACTGTTACTCCCTTAGCTTACAAGGAATGGGGATCTGGGTAATTAGGGGGAATGACAAGGCGATCTGGGTTGTGTGCGTGCACAGTAACAGGGAACGCAGATCGAGGTCGCGGGTGATGTTTTAGCAGAAAAGTGGATTGGCGCTTATGGGGCCGGGCTGCAAAGGGTTTGCATTTGGGTCTTGTATTGGTCAAACTGTGGTTCACCGCTATTGTTGTCACGTGTGTACCATAATCATGGTCGTGGGGCATGTATTAGGTCACCGGGGAGAGCGGCGCTGGCAAGACGGAGACAGCGAAGCTGATCATGGCGTGCCTGACGCACCTCGGAGCGCAGCACAGTAGTTCCAGGCACAGCGGAGCTGGGGCAGTTCAGTCATCGGGCGTATCTGGCGTTGAACAAAAGGTGGGGACTCGACTGGCAAGGGGGGCCAGCGTGGCAGTGGCGTCCTTGGGCCGCAATGATTCATGTGCTTTGAGCTGGGGCAGTAGGACCCGCTTCGGGCTCAGGCCCTAAGGACTAATTTGCTCGGAGCTACATGGGCAGATTTTTCATATAGTTCCGCCTTCTTTAGCAGGGCTCCTGAATGAGGCAACACGGGATTTGGGAGTCTGGGCGTGGGTTGAGAACGTAGAGAACCATCCCAGATTATAGCCCTTCCAGGGCAACGTTAATTTCGCTTGAGGAGGGCGTTGAACTGCAACCGGCCAGGAAAACTAGTGCCATGTTACATTTGGACGGTATATGGGGAAGTAAGATGGCACGGGGCGGGCAAGGGGCTAAATGTCTTTTCCTGCTCAAGCGGAGTGCTGCGGCGGCGAAACGGGCGACAAGGAAGGATGGGTGATTTGCCGCCACATGGTAGTCAGTGGTCATGACGTTCGGGTTTGTGGTTCTGGGCGTGTGGGAGTGGTGGTGTGTTCGTCGCAGCTTGTACCGGTGTGGTGGTATGACTTTTTGCACGCGGCGTGGGCATCGTAGATTTTGGAGTCGAACCCTTTGCTGGAGGCATTTGGCAACGCAAAGACCCTGCGCAACAACAACTCCTCGCGGTTCGGGAAGTACGTGGAGATTTTCTTCGATCCCGCAGCTGGGGGCATGGTCACGGGGGCGGCCGTGAGGACTTACCTGCTGGAGCGCTCGCGGGTGGTGGCGGTGAACAACCCGGAACGCTCCTTCCACATCTTTTACCAGGTAGGGCTTTGGGGTTGACGTTAGCTTACCAAGAGAGATGGATCAGGGTTGCCAAACGTAGCAGCGTTTGGTTAGGGTTGGGGGAATGGAGAAGGTGCAGTCTTACAAGGAACGACTACGGACCTTATGCAAAAAGCAACGCCTGGGGATTGAGAGGAGGTTGAGGGGACCGGGACCGGAGGGCGCCCAGCGAATCGCTGGCGTTTTGCGTGTCTTTGTTCGTGGGCTGCAAGGGGTGTTTTGCAGACCTCGTCAAAGATGCTGTGCGATTTGTGCAACGGGGTCACCACATTTGAGGAAACTTGTTGCAACACGCTGGGGAGCCGTACTTAACAGGCCCCGTTTCTGTAGCAAGTGCGTCAGCGGTTTTGGTGCGTTCCGGTTCTTCCCTCAGCTCTGACCCGACCGTGGGGATACTGATTCGGGTTCACCTGACACCGAACGCGGCCCGCTTCATTTACATGCCGTATGTACAGCTCGTATACGGTGCAAGCCCAGGAGATCGTGCGGCATGGCGACTGCCGGAGTCTGCGTCGGACTTCGCGTACCTGGCTAGAAGCTCCTGCTTCACACTACCCGGGCAGTGCAATGTGGAGGAGTACCATGTAAGCAGTGGCGGGGCGCTGCTTTTGAGCATGGACGTGCCTTTCCCTTTGCCTGCGCCCCTGCGGTTCACACCTGCGCCTGTATGATCGTCGGTCTAGCTGCTTGTCCGAACCCCCCGCACACACGCTTAGGGCTCCAGCAGTTTCGGACTTTGGACGCCGGCAGCTCATTTCTGGATTTCTCGTTTATGACTAACCCCACTCACACGGGGAACCCCGATAATGCATTATCAGGACAACGGTGCCCGAGAAGTGTGCGCCTATGGCACAAGTATCCTCAACTGGCAGGTTGTAACTTACTGACGCCTTGTGCGCTCTGCTTCCATGGAATGAAAAAACACCTACGTGCAGCACACTCGGCGCGCAATGTCGCACATCGGCCTCAGCGAGCAGCAGCAGTCAGCGGTGCTGGCTACGGTGGCCGCTGTGCTGCACCTGGGCAATATAACCTTCACGGACTCGGATGGCGAAGGTGCCGTCGTGGCGGGGGCCCCGGGGCGGAGGGCGCTGGAGGCGGCTGCGGAGCTGCTGGGTGTGGAACCGGAGCCCCTGGCTGAGGCGCTCACAACACGGCAGATTCAGACACCGGAAGGTATGTTAAACGAAGACATGGACTGAGAAGGATGGTGCGCTTCGTTATGGCCTCTGTAAATCTTGGGGGGAGCTTGCCTGAGTGGGCGTGGAAATTGCTTGGACGGTATGGGAGGTGCGAAGTTGGAGAGGGACCAGCTGAAGGGTGGTGGGTGGCGTGGCTCCAGGGCCTAACCGACGGATGAACATGGGCGCGGGGCATGGGCGTGCCTTGAGGATGCGGATGTGGTTTGGGTTTGGGCACTCTAATTGGGTTTGGGAACTAATTGGAGGGGGTTTGGGCTTTAATTAATTGGTTCTGCGAAACGTAGCCTCACGAGGACCACCCAAGGGCTCCTACGAACAAGCACGGGGAAGAGCATCGTACTGAACCTCACATACCGGCAAACGCCGGCGTCGTACACCACCAGAGGATAGTTGTACCCACCAATGGCCTTGTTCCCCTTCCAGCAAGCTCTATCTTCCCGTGCCATGACCCCGAACTGACATGGCTTAATTCGTCTCCTTGCAGGCCCGATTGCAACGCCTTTGTCAGTGCAGGCCGCGGTGGACGCGCGAGACTCCATGGCAAAGGTCGTGTACGCACGGTTGTTTGAGTGGCTTGTCTCAGCCATCAACACTGCCGTGGACGAGGCGCACAACGGGACGGGTGCCGGTGGCGGGTCGTCTGGGGGCACACCGCCGGGGCGGCACCTCTCCATCGGTCTGCTTGACATTTACGGCTTTGAAAGCTTCGATGTGGGTAGGGTCCCGGTCGCTTTCGAAGAGTTATGCGGGGATGGTTGTGAGGGGGCATGGCGGCCTTTGGTGGGAGGAGCATGGAAGCTATTGTTAACGTCAGGGAACGTGTATATGTTTTTTGGGGCCTCTAATCGCAACTACCTGGAACTGCGAATGGGATGGCGTAGCGAGGCTTTCTCAAGGGTTACAGCGTCGGGAAGCCTGAAGCAATGCGGCTCTGCCATGTGTGCATGTCAGCGGCACGTCGCACTTTGCAAACAGCGCGTTCGTGTAACCTGTCTGATAACACGGCTTACGTGGCCAACCGTAAACAATCTTTGCACAGGTCAACGATTTGGAGCAGCTCTGCATCAACTTGACGAACGAGAAGCTGCAGCAGCACTTCAACCAGCATGTATTCAAGTGGGAGCAGGTAGGGGGCGCTGCATTTGTTGTTTATAAGATGTTCTGAGGCGTGAGGCGCGTTGACGGAAACATGCCGATGGCGGTGCACGATTACTTTACCTGCATGTGCTGTGCACACTTCGACATGGATTTTAAAAGGGGCGTTGCTTGTTGAGTAGAGGAAACCATTCACGAGTAGCGAAGTCAGCGGGTAGTTCTCAAGCTCAACGCATATGGCATCTAGCTTTCATGACCTGTCTCTCTGTGCGGAACAGTGACAGGTAAGCTCTCTTGCCCTGGTCCTCAAACAGGTTGTTAGGAAACTGCTTTGTTACAAATGTACTGTGACTGCTTCTAAAAAGTCCATCTACTCAGCAGCATCATATGGGAGGGCAGGAAACAATGAGCAATGCCGCCGGTATGCTTCAATTTGTCATTGCGGCTCTCTGCCCCCCTGCTCTCTCTGCGCTTTGCACCCCGATGACCCCGTGCTCCACCCCGTGCTTCCTATGGTGTCTTGCGCTAGGCCGAGTACGAGCGCGAGGGCGTGGACTGGTCGTACATCTCTTTTCGGGACAATGCGGAAGTCCTGGATCTGCTGGAAGGTCGAATGGGCCTTATGGATCTTTTGGACGAGCTGTGCAGGTTTCCAAAGGTGCGCGTGCAACCCAGTGCCCATCCGATGCGTCTCCTTCTCTGGTAATTTTCTCGGGGCATTTCCGCTTTGGGGTAACGGTCAGTACCGCATTGGGCAACAGGGAGCAAGTCATCCGCCCTCACACGCGGCGCACAACATGTTTGGTGCGCGGCGCGGTAGATATTCACGTCATCCGCAGGGGTAGGGCCGCTTGCTGCTTTGCAGATAGGGGATGGGGGCGCTTTCCACTTGCCATGATAAGAAGCCCTCGCGGCGAAGTGCCATGGATGTGTCGAGTTTCCAGTCGCATGATCGACACAGCTATCCGTCCCTCGTTTCACCAACCCTAGCCCCGGTATTCACGGTTCTTATGGTGGCGCTTCAGGCTTCGGCGGAGGATTTGTCTCACAAGTACCGCAGCAGCGCCGCCGTGTCAGCCAACCCGCGCTTTACGAAGCTGAACCGACCCGCAACGGCCTTCGGAGTCGAGCATTACGCTGGTCAGTTCCGAGGCTCACTTGCTCGGTTCGAGGCCGAAAGATTTTTGCTTGATTGGGGTCTGCGGACATGTGGTTTTTGGGTTTGGGTTTGGGCGAAGGCGACTACTGGAACGATGGAGAGAAGGCCAGGGTGTTTCGGTGTCCCCTTTGGCGAAACCAGAGGGGAAGAGCTGCTTCGTGCCCGTATGGTGTCCACCGAAGGGAACACCGAAGGGTATATCTTTGGGTGAAACCCCTATGGATGCCCCAAAAAGGGGAAAACAGAGGGGACCAGGGTGGGAGTGTCCCTCTTAAGTTACCGAAGCGGCGTGCGGGCGCAGGGCCTGGGGCAGATCGTGTACGAACACAGAGAGGGGGGTTCACTTACAGATGGTGGGCGCGTACCGCAGGACAGGGGCAGCGGGATCAGCAGCTCGGCCTCCCCTTGTATTCTCTCCACCATCGGTGGGCTTAGGTTATCCCGTTTGCCGATTCATCAACTCGCCCTTCCGCGCATTTTCATTGCCAACGGCTGGCCAACGACCTCGTCATCACTTCCGTCACTGTCTGGGCATGCGGTATCCCGTCGTCTCGCCACTGTCGCTTCCGCCACTGCCGCCGCTGTCGCTGTGCAGGCTCCGTGACCTACAGCACGCAGAACTTTTTAGAAAAGAACCGGGACTACGTGGTTGCGGAGCATCAATCCCTGCTGGGCCGATCCCGACGGCCCCTGCTGCAGGAGCTCTTTGCGCCGGAGGTCCCCGCCGCGTCCTCTTCCGGTGAGGGAGCATCCGGCAGCAGCAGCGGCGGCGGCGGCGCCGGAGGCGGTCCTCGCGGCCAAAGTCAGTTTCAGTTTCGCAGCGTTTCATCTCAATGCCGCCGCCAGCTGGCGGAACTCATGTCGGCGTTGTCGCAGCTGCAGCCCCACTACGTGCGCTGCATCAAGCCCAACCCTTCGGGTGCGCCTGGCGAGTTCAACGCGCCGTACAGCTTGCATCAGCTGCGCTGCGGCGGTGTCATGGAGGCCGTACGTATAGCGTGTGCGGGCTACTCGTACAGGTATAGTAGTTCCTGCGTTTCATGATACCTATCTATTTCGGACAGCCTTAGACTGGCCCTTGGGCCTCCGGCTCGTATGGGCCGTTACACGTCTGGAGAGTAATCCAACCTAAGATCTCTCTTTCTCTCTCTCACACACAAACACACAGATGATGCTGTGGTCGCACGGAAGGGAACACGGGCGCCACCGTTTGTGGAAAATTCAAGAATTTATTTACAAATCTTGAGAAAGAACCTGATTGCGTTTGAATGTGTATTTGCAGCAACATGCACATCAGGGGCTGCTCTGCATCACCGCTTCTTCAGGCGCTTTTTCGGTGGCGGACTATGATTAAACCCGGTTGTGACGGCTCATGATCGAATCCCGTAAAACCAGGTTTAACCTTTCCCGCGCACGCAGGCGCCCCTTTGCGGCCTTCCTGGAACACTTTTGGCAGCTGTGCCCCGAACCCGTCCACGCGTTGCGACGGCGGCTCACCGAGTTGGCGGAGCTACAGCTGACACAGCAGCGGCACCACCACCACCATCATCATAATCACCATAATCATCATCACAATCATCATCACAATCATCATCGCCACCGGCGACGTCAAGCTCTGGGACCTGAGTGTCTTGCTCAGGAGCGGCCATCCCTGGAGCTCGCTTCCCTGGACCTGAGCGATCTCCGGAAGGCGGCGTTGACGTTGCTGACTGCGGCGAGGCAGGAGGACACTCCACGTGTCGGCGAGGTGGATGCGGGGCCGCAGTACCACCTAGGCCACACCAAGGTGTTTCTGCGCGCCACAGCGGCAGCGGCACTGGAACGGCGGCGCTTGGCGGCGACGAACGCAGCGGCCACGACCATTCAGGCGCACTTGCGGAGACACCAGGTACGCACATATTGGGGGAAAGGCTGGTGGGTGCCGCATTTCCTTTTAAACGGCATCGTGAGTGGATGGAGGGCACACAACCAGGTTTGCAAGAACGCATGGTATCTTATGCGAGGTGTATTTATGAAATGGTTCCAGTTCTACGTCAGTCCAAAAACGCGCACGTGCCACTGTTGCATGTACAGGTGGAGCAATGGTACCAGCGCCTGCGGCGGTCGATCATCACCATACAGGTAGGACGGCTTGGGATGGCGGGTGAGCTGGTGTTCATTCGCGGCGGAGCAGGTTGAGAAGTACGACGTAACACTAAGTGTCACAGTTGTACATACATATGTGCAAAACCGTGGCACCTCTTGGCTAGAATACGCACGCACGCCGCGTCTCGCAAGCGTGGTTTCGGTTCGTGGCACGTGATGAATGTTTTTTTCCGTTACGCACAGGCCCACTGCCGAGGCTTCCTGGCGCGCCGGGAGGCCCGGCGGCTGCGGGTGGAGCGCGCCGCGACGGTCATTCAGCAGTCCTGGCGGTGCTGCGTGGAGCGGCTGCGGTACCAACGCCTTCGCCGGGCGGCAACGGTGCTGCAGGCGATGTGGCGTGGCGTGGTGGTGCGAAGAGCCGTTGAGGTGCGCAAGGGGCCCAGGAAGGGCATGAAGGCTACAGGAGGGTCCGCGGCGCTCCACACATCATCACTTTGGGCGAGCCGCCGCATGCACCATCCGTGGAGGGCTCTGCTGCTGCTGCTGGTGCTGCTGGTGCTGGTGCTGCTATGGCAGCTCCACCACGTTGGCATCTCTGCTCTGTAGCGTGATACGGTAGAGCTACTAGTGTGGTCCACCTCGTGTTGCATGTGGCTTTACTGCACTGGCTGCTTTCCTGTTGCTGAGATCGCGCCTGCTGTGCCTCTTGTGCTGGTGCATTTCGTATTTTGTTGCAGGAATTCCGGCAAGAGCGCGCGGCGCTGATAATGCAGACTACCTGGCGAAGCGCCGTGATACGGCGGGAGTATCTGTTCACGCTGCGTTACTGGCGGGCGGCGGTGCGCATCCAGACGGCATGGCGGGGCTACGCGGCGCGGCAGCTGTACTTGCAGGCGAGGAAAGGAAATGTATAAAGGGACGGGAAGGTGATGGAAGGGCTGAGCAGTGGCAGTGCAGTATCGTGTGCGGCAATATGAAATGCTCGGTGAGGAGGCGAGCATGTTCTTGCCGTCTTGCGAATGGGGTGTGTGGGGTGATCGCTACTGGAGCTGGAGACCGAAAACTGGATCGCTGCCGTCCACCGTGTGGACAGTCCCCTTCAGTTCCGGTTCATGTGCTCTGCCGGGCTCGGGGCGCTCTGACTCCTTGGTGGTTCCTGCAGCGCGCATCAATACTACCTTAGAAACGAAAAACGAGCGAACAAGAGGTGGATGCCAATTGACGGACACACTTCTCGAGCCGGATGCCACACGTAATAGCCACACGTAATACTTCTTGCGCACGTCTCTCTGTTGCAGGGGAAGCACAACCTGGTACTTAACTACTTTCCTTGCACTTCGTTAACCACGTGCTTCCGTTTGCAGATCCTGCCCCTTCACCGCGCAGCCCTGGTTATCCAGCGCGTTTGGCGCGCACACAAGCGTGGCGCGCAGCTGGCAGAGCGCCTTCGAACTGCCTTGCTGCAATACTGGATTTACAGTCGGGCGGCAGTGGTCATCCAAGCTGCATGGCGAGGCATGGTGAGGGGGTTGCACGTGGTTGTGATGCATTTTGACAAGAGCAAAGCTCCCTCGAGTTGGTTCTGCATTGAATGAAAGGAGGGGAGGGAAGGTCTGCAGCCATAACAACGGTCTGACGTCTCACGGCACGATCCGTGCCGCCTGCTCTCCTTCTGCTTGTAGATGGCTCGACGGCTGAGGAAACGTCTGCTGCGGAGGCAGAAAATGGCGCAGCTATTGGCGGCTTTTAATGTACCTCCTGCGGCAGACGCCTCACTGCCTCCACGGCACTCACCGGACGCTTTCCGCCGTACGGTACGCCCCTATTGTAGTTTCATTGGCGCTGGGGAAAGGAGGAGCCGTAGTGCGAAGGCAGTCCCCGGCCAGGGGCCCCAAGTTTGTGGGCTCCATGCCGGCGGCTTGGGGAGAGGCGTCTGCTCGAGCAACAGGGAGCTTTCATGTCCCCTGCTCTTTCCCCCGCACCGCACACACATACCGTCATACCCACTGCTCTTTATTGGTGCCTTCTGGTTGGTCAGTCACAAACGCGCGTGGTCGGCCCCCCTCCCCACGGCACGCATGCGTTACATACACACAGGACATCCGCACGCCCACGTCCGGGTCCCGCAAGTGCAACTTCTCGACGGGGGGCGCGCCGCCTGTTGGCTTTGGCATGGGCGGTGGCTATGGCAGCAACAGCGGGTTTAAGAGCTACGTCGGACTGATGGCAGGTCCTCCCTTGAGGTCGGCGGATACCACGCCGCTTTCCGGTGGTGATGTGGTGCGGGCAGACGACCTGGCATCCATCCCGGATCGCGACAAGCGAGTACGCGCACGTCTGGCGGAGCTGCAGGACTTCCGAGTAAGTGAGGGGAAAGGGATGTGTTGAGCGCGTGCTTGCATTCTCGGTAGCGCAAGCATGGTATGATATGGGACTCTTGTTTGGTTCCCTACATTTGGGAAGACCAACATTTGAGAAGACCAACATTTGAGAAGAAGAGGGCAACCCACCGACAGGCAGCATGATGCATTAACTGGCAGCTTGTCCCTCCTTTCTTACTCTCTTTCCCCCGGCATTGCTCTTGTCTGCATGTTTGGCAGGTTTCCCCGCTTATGCAGTACTGGCAGCAGCAGGAGGCGGCCGCAGCGGATAACGCAATGGCAGCGACGCGACGTCCACCACAACGCACCATGTCGGGGACGGGAGAGTACTCGCGCCAGCTGGTAGGCCGCGGCGGTCCGACCCATGGGTCGCCTGCGAGTGGCGCCTCCCGCTCATACACCGACCTGACGTCGTTGCCGGGATCACCCATGGACACGGATTATACCATAGCTGTAGACGCGCTTCGGAAAGCCAACATCACCCATCGCCGTGGCCGGGAGCGGCACGCGCCGGCTGCGGGCGATGCAGGCGAGTCGGGCAGTACTCGATCCGGCATGTGTGCCACTGGCGACGACGGCAGCGCGAGTACGGTAGGGGACGCGGCGGAGTTGGGTAGCGGCGTCCTCAGTTGCGATTTGTCTTATGGGCAGCTTCTATGCGTACGAAATGACGATGACGACACCGCCGCCTGCGTTGCGGCGGCGACGACTGTGGACGAGGACCACGAGGTGGATTTAAATGCGCAGGTGCTGCGTGGCGTGGCGGCGCCGGGGAACTCGATTCGAGTTTGACGCTCGGACGCGCTCCTTCTGTGTGCGCCACCACACGCGCCGTCGATTCCTCCTGGTAAGCACCAGGTGCTTATCCCAAGGGAATTGTAACCAGGCTATAGGTAGCGACCTAGGAAGCTGGGAAGCTAGGAAGCATCTATCAGGGGTGCGCCGGATGCGGATTTTCTACTCGGGCGCGGTGACAGCGTATTTGCTGTTGTTACTTTTGAGGTATTAGCCTCATTCATAGTGATTGCTGCTAACGCCGAATGCTGCTGCCACCGCACCCAACTAGTTAACTACTGGCGTCGCACCATTCGCGGCGCGGCCACTCAATTGTGCTGTGGCGGCAGAGAGGTGCTGACTGGCATGTGGGGATGATGGTCGTGTGAGGCTGGGGAAGCACCCGTCTCGGTACGACCTTCACTTGCAGTAATTCAGTTAATACCTAACTACCCCACAACAAGTTGTAGTACATAATCTTGGACCAAGTGGGGCTCAGTGCTCGGACGCTGATACGGTAAGGTAGACGGACTCTCTCGTGCACAGTGTGCGCTGGCGGGGTTGCGCACGGCACTGACGATTAGTGCGGCGGAGGTTGTAATGGTGGCGGTGTGGGCGCCGCCGGCGGGTAGTGCTGGGGATAAACGGGGCGGTGCTGGAAGGGCGTAAGACTCCGGGGCATATCAAGGTGTGGAAGAGTAGGAGGATGGCCATGGAAAGCCAACGATATGCATTTCCAAGGATGAGGGCATCGGAAGGAGGAGGAGGCTAACGATTTTCGGAACTCCGACGCACTGCACACGACTTGTTGCGTATCAGTCCCCCCCTCCTTTGCCCCCTTGATAGCGCCTGAGGGCCTGCGCGCTCGGCGCGCGGCCTAGCCACACCACTGTGCGGACATACATACTAATGCGCGTGTGGTGTTGTGTGCCGGTGTGCGGAATGTAGCGGGGTTGCCTTAGAGCAGGGTTATTGTGTGGGGACGAGGCTCCTTCCGCTTTGCTCTGCGAACACGCCTAACGCGTCCCGAGTTGGACACATGATCGAGGGTGGATGCCTCTTATCATTCCCGTGCTCTTACGATTCAGACCACGCATGGGTCGCCAAGCCTGGTTGAATGCTGCCTCATAGCCAGGCTGTGTGCCATTTGTAGAGACGCCAGGCCAAACTAGGTGAGAGCTGTGCTGTATCGTAAGTGGCAGAGAAAGATCGGAAAAAATCTTTGAAAGGTGCTTTGTCAATGGTGATTTGGGGACTGTCAGACGAAGCAGATCACCATTGTCTCACATCGCAAATGCGAGTTTGGGACTGAACCGATTCAGCACTGTGTCGCGGATACCGAGGGATTAGATTCAATAACTTGCCTTCTAGTGTGTTCATGCTCGCTCGCCATTGTCTTCCTGACACTCCAAGCTAAAAGGAGTGTTCGCACCCCGGGACACGCGGTGTGCGCGTTTGTACGTACGTATGTATGTATGGGTCCCGCCTGGTCAAATATCTGACCTGTGCGAGGTGCTGCATTCCGGAGGCTGCGTGATATTGCGTACCCGGGTTTCTGCTCTTCATCGGGGCGGAACAAAGGCAGCCCCACTTCAACATTTTGCGAGTGTTCGTGTCCTGACAGCTATGTGTGTGTTCCCCATCTGGCAAACCCTTGCTTGTAGCAACGAACAGCTGAACACCTGAAGGGCCTTCTTTTATGTGTATGTGCATATGCTGTCTGTGTGTATATCTGTGTTGGGGGGCCGCGAGGTATTGAAGGTGAGGCTGTATTTTGTTATGTTCGAAGGACAACTCTCGGGACGTCGCCTCTTTGCGCCGTGCGTTTCCAGAATGTACATCACAAAACGCGACAGCTTTATGTGCATTGTTGTGGCTATCCTCCTAAACGCATAATATCCTTTCCTTTTTATGAACGGCGTTCTTGCGCGGTGGGTCGGTCTTTTACCACTCTGCCACAACTCACCAGAACTCCTCTTCGGGGCACGGAGCCAGCTTTTGTGGCTGATGTGCGCGCAAACGCCCATGCGAACCGGCCGTGTCCTCCTGTCAGGATAGGAAGTATATGGCCTGAGGTGTGTTCTACAAAGCTGAGCTGGGCTGCTGCGAGGAGAAAGGTAGTATGGCCGGTGTGTGCGTCTTAACTTGTGAAGGTGTCCACCCACCCACCCACCCACATGGTGTGTGTCCGTGTGTGCCGTTATCCCCTGTCCTCTTGATGAATACGTGTGCATGTATGTGTGTATGTGTGTGTGTGTGGAAAATGGCGAAATGACGACAGCGGTGATGGGACGGAAACTGCTACCGACCGGATAACGGTATGGTTGCCAAATGGGTTCCACGCGGCTGTCCGCTCCACTAGGGTGGTTTTGAGTCCTGATTGGATCCTGGTCAGGAACAGGACACTGTGCGGGAAGTATTCCTTTGCGAGACACGTCGTATTGAAGAGACATACACATCTGGCTGCGGCCTGAGCGGCAGCAGTAATGGAGCTAGCGGCGGATGGAGGGTCGCGGTCTCCGGGGTTGCAGCACAGCACAGCACAGCGCGCAACCCGTCAGGAAGCAGGCCCCTGTCGGTGGACCCGATATGCAAGGTCCGTAGGTTGTACGAGTAATTGTTTGCGACCTTTTTTGACTGTTTGTCGTCACCTTTGAAGTCGTCATCGAAACCGGTGCGGTCTTTTTCTGCACCATCAGTCGCGGATGGATTTTTGATGCGATGCGTCCCCCGGCAGGCGGGGGACTCACTTTGTGACAGTTCGACAGGGAGATTTCTTACGGGCAGAGAAGAGACGAGAGTTAGTAAGGAGTTTTTTTCGTGCTGTTGCGACCGTTACTGTTGCGGGGCCCCTCGAAAACCCATGATCTGACCCAGATGATACCACACATGGTAGATGTTTCGTTTTTTATCTCGCATTTTAGATGAATTCAAGTATATGGATACCATATAGAACTAAGCTCCGTGGGGGACCCACCGTGTGTAATGAGAAGTATGTAACATCTTGCGAATCTCACACCTTCCGGGGGATGAAGGTCCGAGGACTCACAAGACTCAGGTCCGCTGTGGCTTTGCAATCCTAATGCACGAGTGGCGCAGGCCAATAGTCACAGCTGCCATGTCTCCATTTCGAAGGACGGTCAGTCCCCGCCGTTTTCATCTCCATGGACATTATGGATGCTCATATGGGAGGCGTTTATTCTCTTATATACAATTCCACAGAATCCTCGGTAAGCTTTATATGTTGGGTGTCCATATATATGGGTAAGACGTCGCGCTTAAGCCGTAAATTATGTTTTGGTCCGGTCAGACGGACAGACGGTCAGACGGACAGACGGACAGACGGACAGACGGTCAGACGGACAGATGGTCAGACGGACAGACGAAGGTTAGACGAAGGACGGACGCACAGACGAAGGACGCACAGACGAAGGACGGAAGGACGAACGGTCGGACAGGGGCAATCCTAGGGGCAAAGTGCTCTGCGTGCTCAACCCCTCAGGGAAGGGCAAGGGGACAGGCCATGCGGGTGGTGGAACGGAGCCGCCGAAACACCAACTGGCAAAGGCACATTGCCCCACATGCCGCTCAAGACCGGTCAAGGCGCACACGAAACTCGAGGACGGACACGGACAGTCAAGAAGACGCCGAGAGAGCAGCATCATAACAACACCGAGCAGCAGGAAGGGTGGCGGGGAAAGAAACCTTTTGAACGAGCACGGCACCGCAAGACTGCTTGCATGCAAAGTATTACACGGCATGTGGTGTTTCAAGGCCAAACGTTTGCCTCCATGCGGCCATCAGGAACCCCAGGAGACTGCAGAAGGGATGCCAGGCCAGTGGCCACGGGCGAAGCTATAACCTCCTATCCCACACAATCATATGGGGGCTTCACCAAATTGGGGCTGCCGACGAGGGGTCTGGCCAGCAAGATTCTTTATTTGAAGGAGGGAAGAGCTGGCTTAACCAAGACAGCAATTCAAATCTTAGCCTAAGTCAGAGTCTTAGTCTAAGTCTGAGTCTAAGTCTGAGTGCTAAGCCTGAGTCTAAGTCTAGGTCTAAAAGTCTAAGACGCCTAAGGTTACTCGGCAAAGTTGCGAATGGAGTTCCCATCGTTAACGGTACCTTTCCGAGCTAGGTCTTGTAGTGTATCCAGTTAGCGTAGCCCGCAAGCCACCAAGGGAGCCGGAACGGAGGTCGTGTTGCCGGAGGTTGACCCACCACATACAGCGAGCCTGCGGCCTGTGACTACTAGTTGGCAGGACCCACACCGCCGTCAGTTGTACGGTGTAATCAACTCTCAATATATCTACAGTCCATGGCCCCCCCCCGGCTTTCACAGACCCCCCCGCACTCGTACGGCACTTGTAACTTGTAACTAGAGGGAAACTCCTGCGGGGTCTGCGAGCTATATCAACGGCATAACTGTTAACCCTATAGTGGAAATTCATGGCGTGACTTTGCTGAGCGATTACGTCATCGACCAGGTCCCGCTGTCCCCCATTACAAGGAATCACCCTTGGGCACCTCATCGGAATACCGGAGCGCGTCCTCCCACATCTGGTAGGGAGCAGACCCTGGAGTGCAGTTATGCTAGGTGGCAAAGGGCCGAGAACACAATCCATGTTTGTGGTAAGGCAGCGATTCACAGGGGCACAGTCCTGGCATCCCCGTTTAAAAAAGTAACACTCCCACTCTGAGTCTGCACACGCGAATCCACCGTAGGGCCGTACATATCTTGATAATGTTGCAAGGCGCTTGTGTGGGTGCTTTCCAAATGACAGATGTCAGGCGGTTGGCATGCTTGGAGTCCGTGGCGCGGCAATCGTGTTATGGGCTTGGGTTTCCGCCCGATTCGCCTTGGCTTCGTCTGGGGACCGAAGGGCTCGCGATTAGCTGCTGCGGGTTATTGGGTGCTGGCTGCGGTGAAGTTTGGGTAGTGTGCGTCTACAGATTTTCACATTTTAGCCTTTTCGCATCGCGTGATGCCGCATTTGAAGTTTTTCGCATTCGAAAATTTCCGTCGTTGTACGTATCCCTGCGTACCGCTTCTTAGGACTGCATGAACCTGAAGGGGATTCTCCGCTTCTTTAAATTGTTAGATGCTCAGTTTGATCTGTCAAGAGAGTAAAACATTTTAGAAGTTGCACCAAGGCAAGAGGGAGAGGCAGCTGAATGGAGAAAGGATACAGTACGAGTACAAGCCGTAGCATGGAAATCCCGATTGCGGCGGTGTGATTCCGGCTGCTAATGATTGCATAAACCTAGATTTTTAACTATGCAAAGCTGGACAAGTCCATGGAGCATAATAGCAGCGAGTCTGTCACTATTTTATTTAGGCAGCAAACGAGTCTGCGGTAGGAGGCCTATAAGGACAATATACGAGAGCCTGTGCACTGCAAAATTTGTGTGTTAGTCTCTGTAGAGCTTGCAATGGACTGCGCCCGAAAGCCCCTGCAGCCCAACACCTTAACTCACATACATGTAATAACTGGAAATGTTAGTTTGACTGCTAATAGACTACTTAGCAAACAATGATATCCTTTGCAAAGCCTGGAATATGACATTCCGTACCGGTACTTGCATCCCCGTTACACGACCTTAACGCCACCCGAAAGGTAGAAATACAACTCAGGAACATTTATCTATGTAATCTGTCATCCATGATAAAACTGAAGTCATCCCCATCAGCCGTAAGAGACTAAGAACTTAGCCAATGGTCGAGCAAGTACGGAAGGGCTGTCCTCTGAAACTCTGTGCCATTCCCTGCTCAACCTAAGGCTCGCAGTTATGTTCTAGCGTACCATCCTATTTTTTAATTATAGATATAAAGGGAACGTTCTCTACTTTGCCAGAAATCGCCAAAGTCTGGGCAGCCCAATACACCTTTATCCACCTAGCTTGGCTTGGAGGCCGCTGTCTAAAATGCGTGAAGTAAAGAGGCGGAAGATGGGCTACTGGGAGCCGGTGCGCTTGCAACATGGCCGATGACGTGCCTTCACCTCGCACACCCCACCTGCTAGGCGCAAGTCCCAACGAGCTACTTAACGAGAGTTTCTGATTTGTGCAGTTTAATGTATGGTGGCGGGAGTATGTGGCGCAACATGACAAGCGCCCGAAGGTGCACGAGATGAAGAAGTAAGCCGCTTCCTGCTTAATTCCTAGAGTGCTTCCTTTCTATTCTTTCAGTGATAAACTTCGAAATGCTGTTAGTATGAGCTTGCGGCATGTGTGGCGGGCACTGCATAGCCTTTCCTATGACCTGTATGGGCCCGCAAGCCTAACAGAGACTAAGGCGGACCACCGTGAATAACAATTTTGTGGTTCAGGTGGTATGAAACGAACGCAGAGCGCGTCTGGGGTGGGTCCGGCCCCACTTGGGATGAGACCAAGAAGCACTCGAAAGGCATGCGAAGGATTGAAGACATCTCCGACTACTTCCGTCAGTATCGCAAAGGCCGTCGGAAGAAAGCCGCTGGCTGCTCCATTGACGTAAGTATCTGTTGATGTCCGGCCTGCCATCGCAGTTCACCTGAAGTGTGCCTTTCATTAGTTGTCTTCATTCGTTCTTCTTGTTATCCAAAACCTCTCTTTAGCTCTCTTTATTGAAGCACCTCCTCTCAATCTCTCAATCCTTGACCCTGTTGTGGCCGTCTATAAACTTCGCCCGTTCAGAGTGAAACAAGCGACAGCGACGCGGATGAGCTCGCCGAGGGGGCTTCCACTCCAGATTCTGAGTCTCGACAACGCAACAAAGCCAAAGTCACCCGCAAATCTCCTGCAGTGGGAGGCGCTGGTGCAGCTGGCCGGGGCCGCGGCCGTGGACGTCCTAAACAGGAAGGCATCCCGGGCATCGGAGCCCCCGGCCCCAGCGCAATCCAAGACCCGCCTAGTAGATCCGCCAGCTCTGCCCCCTTCCCGCAACCCTTCCCGCAGCGACCCCTCGCGAGCACAGCGGCAGCGCCGCCGCTACAGCAAGTCTGCGATGCTGCTGGACCTGTTGGCGCTTGCTCAACCGTAAGTGGCGATGACGAGGCCTACCTTCACAAGCGACAACTAGAGCAGCTACTGCTCCAACGTCGTCCCCAGCAACAGCAGCAGCAGCAACAGGATCAGCATCCGTACTCACAGCTCCTGAATGATCGCCGTACGGATCAGCTCGTACAGATCCCGCCGCCGCCGGCAGGGGGTGTCGCTGGCAGCTGTACGGCAGGGCAGCCGCTGCCGCAATTTCCGGCAGCGCCAGTACAGGCGAACCGTGCCTCCAGCGCGTCCATCCCATCGGGTGTACTGCAGCTCCGTACGGCAAGTACGTCGCATGTGCCTGGCGTACATCAATTCCGTACGTCGAGCGCGACGATGTTGCCTTCGGAGCCTGCAGCACCTCCCTCCGTGCCGCTGCAGCCGCCGTCGCACCAAAATCACCACCACCTGCATGAACCTCAGTTTCGGCTGCCCTCCGTGGCGCAGCAGCAGGGCTACCAGCAGCTGCAGCACCGAGCCCAGGAGTACACACACAGCCACTTGCAACCCAGCCAGGGCGAGCCGCACTATCAGCACCACCGCCATCCCCATTCCGAGCACCACCTGCACCATCCACACTGTTACAATGGCCCCCTACAGCCTCCGCCGCAACAGCCGCCGTCGCAGCAGCACCAGCAGCAGCCTCAAGAGCTGTTCACGGACGCTACGTCGCCTCCGACGGATCCTAGCCAGGCGCCGCATTACCCGAAGATTCTCGGAGTGCCTGTCCCGGGCCTGTCCTTCTTCGGAGGCTGGAAATCGCGATCTGCGACCTTGCCCTCGAACCAGGGAACAGCAGCAGCGGCGGCGGCGCAGCCGCCGCCGCCGCACGGTCAACATCACCAACCGTACACAGCAGGCCACCCAGCGGCGGCAGCGCAGCCTGCGGCGCCGCCGCCGCACTTGCAGCGCTCATTAGCCATGCCACGGTCCTGGTCGCAGCAGCAGCAGCAGCAGCAGCCGGCGGTGCAGCCGCGCAGGATGGGAGCCCCGTGGGGTATGATGAGGATGCTGTCCATGCCTCGAGGGCTGCCACCGCAGCCGCCGCCGCATCAGGCGACTGCGGCACAGTTGTCGTCGTCGCAGGCTCCATTCGGTCTCCTTGGTGCAGGTCCGGCCGTTTACAACAACGCTCCTCCGCCGCATATGCGGGGCTCGGCGTCGCCGCCGCAATCGTCGCCATATTCGCCGCAGCATGCTGAGCCGTACATAGACCCGTCGGCGGCGGCGGCGGCGGTGCCACAGGAGACTTACATGTCGACGTCGCCGCCGTCGTACTCGACGCCGACGCAGCCGTACACGAACACGTCACCTCCGCAGTGCCACGTAATGGAACAGCAGTCCATGTCGCCGCCGGATGCGGCCATGGCGATAGCACAGCCGTCGGCGCAGCAGATGCCAAACGGGCCGTATATAAACGGCCCGCCGCCGCTGCCTCAGCAGCAGCAGCTGCCGCCATCATCGGATCCGTACATGGCAGTGGCGGGTCCCCCGCCACCGTCAATGCCACCGCCACCTCCACTGCCTATGCTGCCGCCGCCGCCGCCGGTGCTGCCGCCGCAGCCGCGTTTCCCGGAGCGCCTCGACGAGCGTCCGCAATCACAGGCCCCGTCACAGGTGTCGCCGTCGCCGCCGTCGACCGCTCACGTTCCAGCTGTCCATCAGCCGCAGCAGGCCCTGCCGCCGGGACCTCCGCCGGAGCCCTTCCGTACACGCGAGCGCGTCATCTCTCTGACTCGCCACTACGAGCTTCCAGACCTACCCACGGAACCGGAGGGCCTCCAGAACCAGTTCGCCGCATGCCGCATGGCGGATGCAGGACAGCTGGGCGGCGGCGGCGGCGGCGGCGGCGTCAATCCGGATTTGGGAACCATTTTGGAGAGCGGCGATGTGGGGGTTCGTGAGGGCGTCGGCGGCGTCAGCCCTACGGGCGAAATACAGGTAAGGCAGGTGGAGTCGGAGTACCCCAAGGCAGATGTAGTCAAGTTCGTCGGGGCACGTGACGGGGGAAAGGTGGCCAGGTCGCGTAAGGGGGTGCTCTCCCTGTCTTTACCCTGTACCACCACCACATGCACACATGCATACGCCTGCAGGGCTCAGGCGTGGCCGGTGGTGGTAGCGGCAGTGGCAGCGGCAGCGGCAGCGGCTCCCTCATCGGCCGCCTCTTCAGCCGCGGCTCCACCATGCAGCGGCTCCGAGAGCTCTTCTGGTCGTGGGCCAACCCGGATGCGGACGCGCCGCCGGGCCCCGACGCGCCGCCGACAACGATGATGACCAGCAGTGGCGGCGCCGCCCCTGGCAGCGGCAGCGGCGACGCGGCGGGGTCGGCGGGCGGTGGCGGTGGCGGTGGCGGTGCGGTGCCACACACAACGGCCTTGCCCGCCCCCGGCGGTGGTTTCTGGGGCCGCCTGAATTCCAATCCGAGGTCTCCAAGACTGGGTGCGGCCGACATGGGGTCGCCGGACAACGGACCGAACCCCTTCCGGCAGCAGCTGCAACGACTGGTAAGCTTCACGCTCCGAGTTGTGCTTTCCACTGACTCTAGGATTACTGGGGAGTATTGGGGAGTATTGGGGAGTATTGGGGAGTATTGGGGAGTATTGGGGAGTATTGGGGAATATTGGGGATTTGAGCCGCGAAACGACTGGGGAGGGCTCTGTGCCACCCTCAGTGTCCCTGTGCCCCGTCCTCACGCATGAAATGGCGACCTCCCTTACCTAGCCGGGTTTGAAGTCTGTGCGTTTCATAAAGTGCGGCTTTTTGGAGCGGATCTATCTCTAGTAGCACACGCGCCCGTCAGCAGCAATCAGATTCACCGAGTCCGTACACGTCGGCTGGTCTGTGTTGGCTGTGGAGCGCTGTGGGATCACTGGTGGCACACAGGGCACCGGGTAGAGTAGACCCCACCCCCCCGCGCATCTCCCCTACCCGAGAGAGCCTGGTGGTCCACGAGGAGGGAGCCTTGGGCTTGAAGGCCTGACAGCGCTCTGTGGCTGTGAAACTTTCCGCGGCCCCACAGCTAGTTTCGTTTCCTTTGTTTGTTTGTTTGTTTATATTTGCAGGGAAGCATGTCGAGTTCGTGGCTGCTAGGGAAGCGCAGTCGGGAGGAGGGCTCGCCCGTCACCCAGACCTCCACACCCACCAGCAAGAAGCTACAGCGCGGCGTCAGCGGCGTCTTCCGGCCCTTCGTGGAGATGATGTCCTTCGGCCGGCGCTCCTCCAACCTCGGCGCCAACAACAGTATTGCCGCGGCAGCAGCGGCGGCGGTGGCGGAGGTGGAGGCGGCGGAGCGGGCGGCGGAAGAGAGGGCGGCAGCGGCGGGGGTGATGTTGCCGCAGCCTGCGGCGGCGGCGGAAGCTATGGTGATTGACAGCGGCGGCCCTGAGGAGCAGCTCGGTGGCGGCGGCGGCGGCGACGGAGGAGCCGCCGGGGCCCCTGCCGTCGCGGCCGTGTTGGCCGGCGAGCTCGTACAGGCTATGTCGTGCAACACTGACGCCGATGCCGACCGCCTGCTGCTGGAAACGTTAGACAGCCAAGTTCTCGCGACGCTGGAGGAGGAGGCGCGGGCTGCACGAGAGCAGCATCCGCGGTCGCTGTCGGCGGCGGCAGCGGCGGCGGCAGCTCCGCCTCCGCTGGCACCTATGGCGCCGCTGGATGCGGCTAACGGCTCTGCTTACATGAGTGGCTGTGTGCTGGACTGCGGTCCAGCCGCTACTGCTGCCGCTACTGCTGCTCCGCTGGTGGGTCCTATGAGCAACCTTAGCTCGATGGCTCAGCCGCAGCCACCACTGGCGCCGATGGCGGCAGCGGCACCGCCGCCGCTGCAGGCACCGTCGGCAATGGACGCAACCATCGCCGCGACGGCGGCGGCGCCGTCGCCGCCGCCGCCACACGCAGGTCTTCCGCCACCGTCGGGCGCACAGGTGGGGCCCGACCGCGGGCAGGTGTTGAAACATCTCGCTTTTTGCATAACCACGGTTGCAAAACGCGCGTCCTGCAGCCTTGGGTGAGGGAGAAGAGAGCCATTGCCGCGCCCGCATCAGCCCGCCATTGAAACGTCACATCACATTGGAGCAAAGCCGCCCTCCCCGCGTGATCCCCGCGTGATATTCCCCTCGTCCTGGCGAGTAACTTACACGCCCACCGCTGCCTCATTGCTTCATTCAGTCACTCCACACCACATGCTGTATCACGGGCCCCTCCGGCACCTGTACCGCTAACCTTACAGGTCTCTGGCGGCGGCTCCGGCGCTGCCGGCCCCATGCCGTACCATAGCTTACCGCAAGTTGGACTGCCGCCGCCGTCAAGCTCGTCCAATAATGCCGTACGCGGCCCGGTCATTACTACCGGTGCGCCAGTCTCCGGGAGCATGCGCGGCGCCGCGGCCGGTGCCGCCGTTCCCACGCGACCACAGCAGCAGCAGCAGTACGGCGGCTACGGCCATGCCCAGCCGCAAGTCCAGCAACAGCAACAGGATTTGCTGCACGGGGGTTGCAACGGCAGCGGCGGGTTGCAAATGCAGCACCCGCACCAGCTGGCTGCCCGCCTGGAGCAACCGCAGCATGAGGACGGTGCCGGCGGCGGGATGTTGTTGAGGTTCAGCAACTCCCTGACAGAGTATTGGAAGCAGGTCTGGGGCTCGGCCAGGTGATCGAGGGGCAAATGTGAATGTACTTTCGCCTGCCCCGAGGGTGAAAGAAGGGGAAAGGAGATGTCGTACAAACGTACGGAAGTACGATGAGTCCGTGTTGGGGTTTTATGGTTGGTTCAGGTGTGGTCTAGGAGGTGTTTAGGAATTGCGTCCTCTTTGCGGATCAATTGCGTTTTTCTAAACCCTGTGTGTGTCTCATTCTGGAAGCCTGATGATGATGATGATGATGATGGTGGTGGTGGTGGTTATGGTAATGTCGCTTCCACGCAGCCCTGGGGGTTGGGGGAGGAGGAGGGATCGCCGCGGGGGGGGCCCTTATGAAGGCGGCCCTTGGTGGATGATGAAGAGAGTCAGCCCCTGGGACTACTCATCAAGACGGTTGGGTGCCGTACACTGCGGTCCGGGGTTCACCCTCTTATTATGCCAGGTATGGTGTGAAGGACACTCATCCAAATGAGCTCTTTTCTCTCAGTTTAAATATGTTGCCTAAAGAAAGGACGAGGAAAAAAGGCAAACTTTTGAGACCTATGACCGCTGCCAAAAGCGGCTTTGATGTAATCTGACGGCAAACAGCGATTTCCACTTCTTTGGCTGTGACGTGGAGCGTGGGGGGTTCCCGCAGTGCAGGGGTAGGGTTATTATTGCCGTATTGCCTAAATAAGACACCAGTATGTTTGGTGCGGCATCTGGAGGGCGGCGTAGAGTCGACTACCTGCTGGGGTCCTCAGGTGTCGTGGATTGGGTTGGGTTGGAATTGTTTGTCTACCCAGGTGGTGATGGTAGTGGCGGTGTTTGGGAAGTTATTGCGGTCTGCTAAAAGTTATGGGGGCCATCGGGGGCTCCGAAACCAGATCTCTCCCTCTTTAAGCCCTAATAATATGCCGCGGCTGCCGGCGCTGGCGCCAGTCCCTGGGTTAGTACGGCAGAGTCAGAAACGGCGGCGACACGGGCGATATGTGCATCGGAAATAGCAGCGGTGGTAGGGTGGTGGTGGCGGTGCCGACGGCTCAGGCCTGTTGGCTGATTGGCGAGTGAAAAGTCGCTTTGAACGGCGCTGTTGGTGCCGCCTCTGCCCCCTCTCCCTTTTCTCTAATATTAAATTTCTGGTGCAAACTGCTGTAATGCTGTACGCCGCCCTATCATACTACTTGTGAGCCGCATGTTCCTTGCAGACGTATTTTGCAAAAAGTGCCGTAACGTTCACCTTGTGCCATTCGTACCACACCGTAGTCACACCGTACATGTGCTTGTTCGTCATTATCATGGTAATCGGCATTGGTATTATTATTGGTACAGGTTTCTCCACCAGGCAGTTCCTTCCAATTTTGCCGTATCAATATCTTAATACGCAATAGTCTGTTGCAGTTTCCGGGCGAGGTGAGGTGTTGACATTCTTGGTGTTGCACAAAAAGCAGTGCCTGTATGTACGTATGTACGTATGTACGTATGTATGTATGTATGTATGTACGTATGTATGTATGTATGTACGTATGTATGTATGTATGTATGTATGTATGTATGTATGTATGTATGTGTGTATGTATGTATGTATGGTGGCTAAGGAGGAATGGAGTCCCGGTATGCGTGTTTTTATTCTTTTACGCAACGCACGTCTATGCCAGCCCTTATGGTACGGGCCACCTTAGGGGCCACTATTGGGGGGGGGAGATGGTGAGACTTGAGAGCCCAACACAACGAGGTTTGGCGAACCCGGTTGGCGAACGCGTCCCTCAGAAGCCCCGAGGGATGAGTCGATATGCGTGCGGGTTTGCCGGCCCCCGGTTTGTTTATTGGTTGTGGTGGGTCCGCTGTTATATGTGTGCATCCTCAATGTACCTCCTTCGTGGGGCACATGCGCATTCTTGTCAGTGCCGAAACTGACATTGTCGTGAGGCCCCTGAGGTGGGTCTGGGGGGGGGGATACTAACGAGCACGACACATGCTCGGCTCGGCTCGGGCCACAACCCTTGGAAAAGGGGAGATTCATGGGTTGTTTCATTTAGAGAAAAAGGGAGCGGGAGCCGGGATTCGATCGGGGGTTTGCCATTTCCAGTAGATAGATAAGGTTCGGGAGGTTTGGTATGGTGCTGGGGATGCTTGCAGCGTGAGAGGCTACACCAGGAGCTGTATTTAGGCTTTCATAACATGAGGTACTCACCCATAACAAGCAGGTCCTATCGGCCCGGGTGGCTAACTTGTTAGGGCGGGGCGGGTTCTCTGGTGTCCGGCGGCATGGCGGCCCGTTGGGTGGTCCCCTGGACGGCTGCCTGTGGCGGTCCCCTGGAGCCGTTGGCCAGTAACGGCCACACAACGCAGCTGCTCCTCCACGCCACCTACTACCATTATGAGTGAGTACCTTCTGTTAGATAGTAGTTTACTTTTCATCGGTAGTGGCGGGGGCTGGTAGTACGGAGGCGGCTGCGTGGGGGATTCCGGTTGGGGTGGGGCAGGGTTTCAATATCTAGATCTCATTCCCCCCGCCTGCTGTGCCGTTACTTCACTTTCCTGTCCTGTGCGCGCTCGCGCGGTGCGCAGTATCCGAACCAGGGCAATACAGGTTCGGATCCGAATCAGGGTCCATACATGCACCCGGTGTGCATTCGCTGTATCAGTTTCTTCCTCCCCAAAAAAGATTTTCTGGGTGTTACAGATGTATGGGTGAGACAGCTGCATTGATTGGTCTCTAGGTTAATGAGTGTGTTGTCAGCTGTGGGCTTGTCAGCTGGCAGAGAGAGAATGAGAGAGGTCGCCAAGGCGCAGGTTTGCTATCATAATAGTTATGATGCTGCTGAATATATAATGTTGCGCTGTGCTGGGGTGGGTCGGTCGGTCAGCCGTGTCGTGCTCCTCTGTGCTGTGCTCCATGTGCGTTCATGGTCCCGATTGCTCTGGAAAAAGGAAAAGGTTGTTAAAGAAATTGCTGACAAGGCCCTCCGCCACGGCACCGTGCGTTATGCGGATGTCGAGGCAACGGCAACTAGGAATCCTTGTTGGCGCATTTCGGGTGCAGCCATATTAGCGAATTACTGCCAAAGGTTTCAGAAACGTCTTTACTTTATGCAACGGCATGTGTAGAGCTTCTGTTGTGGCTTTCGTGAACTGCTTTTGATAATAAACACATCTTCGATGTGCGCGCTGCCGTTACTGTCCCTCCTTCTTGACGACGACCTTCGGTGTTTGTTAAGATGGTCGCATGTGAACTATAGCTACATACAGACATACAGAGGTACTGCTGGCGCTGAGCGGTGAACGTGATGGCGTGTGGTGATGTCGGGTTG